CACTCTGTCCTCTAGGGGCGCTGTGGGTCAGAATGGACTCCACGGCAGTGGGTGTGGTTTGGGCTTTGCTTCTGTGAAGACTGACAGCCTTGGAGAGAACCCTGTGGGGCAGTTCCAGTCTGTCCTCTAGGGGCGCTGTGGGTCAGAATTGACTCGACTAGGAGGCATATTGCAAAGCCAGAGATATTAGTTATACAGAAACGTGGAACACTGTCATCACCTTGACGTACCCAGCACCCACTTTTTCTTCCTGTTGTGCTCTCTAAGGGCATGCCTGTCACCCCACGATCGCTTCGCATCCTTCCTCCTCATCTAACTGGCCGCCCCACGTCTTCAAAGGACGGAGCCCTCTTCACTGACGGCTCTCCTCTTCCTTCCAGAATTCCAAGAAATGGTGCATGCTTAGAAGCCCCAGTCTACGGAGAGCGAGAACAGACGGATCGGAAGGACAGCTGGAGGACCTCCGAAGCCCCAGGAATGGGAAACCCCACCCCCACCCCGCCCCTGCCCCTAATTTATTCGTTTATTTCCTTCAACTGGCTCGCTGTTTGAGTGAGGTAACAAGACCGCCGGTGATGACTTTTTTAGTGACGCGTATGCCTTGGTGACTTCTGTAAGGCCCTAAGCAGGACAATCAATACCTAAAAAAAAAAAAAAAGAAAAATCATTCAATAAACACACGTTTCTCATCGTCCACTGCTGTGTGGGTGTGTTTTTTTCTCAGCAAGTTTCAGGGATGAATGCAATCTGAAGACCAAGGGCTTGTCCACAGAAGTCTGGTCCTATCAGATGCTGGGCAAGCCACACTTACGTGGTGCATCAGTGGACAGGGTAACCAGGTACCCAGGATTAAAAAAAAAAGTCACAGATAAAACAGTATTGTCATGCTAGGGTTGTTGCTGTTGTTATATGCTGACGAATTGGACTCGACTCATAGCGACCCTTCCTTGGGTTTCCGAGGCAGTATCACTGCGGAAGTAGATTGCCTAACCTTCTTTCCGAGGAGTGAGTGGCTGGTGGGTTTGAACCACCAGCCTCCTGGCTAGCAGTCAAGTGCTTTAGGCACTACGCTACCAGAGCTCCCATGCTAGGGTTATCTCAGCAGATCGTCTGCCTCTAGAACTAATATAAAGAGATCTGGGCCAACCTAAAATGTCACTGATGTGGTTTCTGCTACTGGACGTTAGATCGTCAGAAGAAAGACTTGAGTAAAACCCAACAGGATAAGACAGAATGAAGTCCAGGCCACGTTGTTCTGGTCTATGGCTGCTGACCGGGAGCTCTGGTAGCGTAGTGGCTAAGGCACTTGACTGCTAACCAGAAGGCTGGTGGTTCAAACCCATCAGCCACTCCTCGGAAGGAAGATGAGGCAATCTACTTCCCTAGTGATACTGCCTTGGAAACCCAAGGAGGGGTCGCTATGAGTCGGGTCCAACTTGACGGCACATAACAACAACAGCAACAACATTGCTGCTGACCAGCCTGACTGGCGGCGACCTTCAGAATTGACTGAAGGAAACGGCCTCTGGGCCCTGCTCCGTCTCCTCCACCCTTGGTATGTTTCAGTTCATAGCGGAGGCCACCGTAGAGTCTACGAGCCTTCCACGCTAGACGGCCTGCCTTCCAGCGCTGTACCCGACAATCTGTCGTGATCCACAGGGTTTCTGTTCTGACCTTCAGAGGAGATCCCCGGGCCTTTCTGCCTGGTCTGTCTCGCTCTGCAGGCTCTGCAGAAACCGTTCACTGCGGGGGACCCTGCTGGCACTTGAAATACCAGTGGCATAGCTTCCAGTGTCAGGGTAGCACGTAGGCCGCTGCAGCGTGACACACTGTCAGACAGGTGGTGGTTCTGAGGGCTGAGCCCGTTGCTGTCAACTCACGGCAACCCCGTGTGTGTCAGAGTAGGCGTGAGCTCCTAGGGCTTTCAGTGGCTAACCACCACTCAGTGGTAGATCACCAGCCTTTCCTCTGAGGTGCCTCTGGGTAGACTTGAACTTCTAACCCTTCAGTTAGCAGCCATGGGTTAACCATTGGCATCACACAGGGAGCCCATTGCTATGCTAGTTGACCATAAACTGACCCATTGTCAACCCTTCTTTTTTTTTTCCTTAGAAAAACAAGCTATTTGAGACTTGCCTGCTCACCCACCTCCTCCCTTCCTCACCCACTATTTTCCTGGCACTCACCTGATACCACTCAGATACACCTTCCTTGCCCTAACATTTGAGGCTAACTTCGGGGATCCTGTTACAGGGTTTTCATTAGGGCTGGGACACCCCCAGCCAGGAAATTACCATCAGGCTGGCTTCCAAGTGGCCAGTAGAGATGTCATCTCTGGCTGATCCCAGGAGTAGAGGCCACTTAGGAGCTATGGAGGCGTTTTCCAGAGACGTTGTTCAAAACCTCACACTTTTTACTCAAACCCCAAACTTACAAAGTGCTGGGCTCTCCCGTATTGCTTCCCCCACACTAAATACTTTGGTCACTTCTGAATGCCTGTTGTTGTTGCTGTTTTTAATATTTATTTTCTTTTTGGTGAAAATCTACAGAGCAAAACATGCACCCATTCAACAATTTCCACACATACGGTTCAGAGACATTGGTCATGTTTTCATTTTGTGTCAACTGTCTCCCTATTTCTTCTTAAATTGTTTTGCTATCACTAACTTAGACTCACTGCCCCCCTCAACTTCTCTATACTGTAGATATATTGTCATGAGTTTGGTCTCCTATACCAAAAAACCAAACTCACTGCAATCAAGTTGGATCCTACTCATAGCAATCCCTCAATCCCTCCTTGGGTTTTCAAGGCGGTGTCACTACAGAAGTAGATTTTCCAACCTTCCTTCTGAGGAGTGGCTGGTGGATTTGAACCGTCAGCCTTCTGGTTGGCAGTTAAATGCCTTTGGTCTCATATATATAATCTTTTAAGAGAGAGTAATTCTCAAAGTGTGTGTTCCTTGCTAATTGAGCTAAACTGGCTTAGTCTAAAGATGACTTCAGGGGATAGTTTTGGTTAAAGGTTTAAGAACTATCTCAGAGCAATAGTTTCATGGTTTCCTCCAGTGACAGTGGATCCAGTAAGTCTAGAATCTTTAAGAATTTGAGCGCCATTCCACATTCCTCCCTTTTGCTCAGGATCCATCTAGCATGGCTGGGATCAAAATGATCAGTAATGACAGCTGGGCACTATCTAGTTCTTTCGGTCTCATGACAGAGGCAGAAGTTCATAGAAGTAACAAGTCCTGTAGTCTGTTTCCTTCCCTGTGAACCCCTGTTCTTACGTTTTCAAAGTATGGAGCACATACTAAAACCTAAGGGGCTCAAGATGACTTTACGGGATAGGGATCCACATTCTTTTTCTAATACACTTTATTTTTTAGAGCAGTTTGGGGTCTATGGAAAAATTGAGAGGAAAGTACAGAAAGTTTCCATAAGCCCTTTCTCCTCTCTGCACAGTTTCTTCTCTGGGTCAATATTTACTAAGAATCATGCATTTATTTTAGTATCATTTGGAAAAAGAAAACAAACACAAACGTGATTTTGATATTACTGCTTAGACTGAGGTTAAAGAGAATATCAGGTTTCTGAAAGTACATCCTACTTGCAAAAAAATATTAAGAAAGACTCTGAGACCAGAAGAACTAGATGGTGCCCAGCTACCACTGCCAATTGCTCTGAAAGGGACCACAATAGGAGGTCCTGGAGAGAGTGGGAGAAAGATGTGAAACAAAGACCAAGATCATAAAAAAAGAGCAGGCTTACTGGTCTGATAGAGACTGGCGGAACCCCTGAGACTATGGGCCTTAGACACCCTTCAAGCCTGGAACTGAACCCAAGCCCCATGGCTCAACTTTCAGGCAAACAGACAGGCCTATGAGGTAACAGTAACACCAGGTCTTATCTAAAGCGGTACGCATTTATTAGAACCACCAACCGTACTAGAGCCAAAGGGCAGCATCTGCCCAGGGATTAAGCTCAGAAGGCAGGAGGGACAGGAATGAAGGAGGAACCAATATGAGCAGCACGGGGAGGCAGTAGGAAGAGTGCTGTTACACCGGGGGGACTGCAACGAATGTCAGGAAGCAAAATATGTTGAACCAATCTGCTTTGTAAACTTTCACTCAAATCACAATTTAAAAAAAAGAAGAAGAATTTTAAGTCATAGTAAAGATGGTATTGGGGTAACAAAAACCATCGTTCTCAAATGATTCAAAGTTAGGGAAGACAGTTTTAAAATGAAGAATTCTTTGGGGGAGGGTCAGAGAATGGAAGCCTTTGTGTGGCCGTCTCTCGTGTCACCTCTCCTTGCACACACCTGCACTCCCATTCTGTACTGACCCCTCCCCTAAATGCGCCCCATATCTGTCAGGCACCTGGTCAGCTCCTCCCATCACTGGCTTCCCATGCATTTAGAATTGCTTAGAACATGGACAGCAAGAGACCTTCCTGCTCCGCACTGACGACCTATTGTTGCTGGTGTTTGGTGACGTCAGGGTGATTCCAACTCACAGAGACCCCATGTGACCGAGCTGAGCTGCCCCATAGGGTTTCTTAGGCTGTCATCTTTCTGGGAACAGATAACCAAGTCTTTTCTCTCTCTGAGCCTCTGGTGAATTTGAACCACCGCCTTTCGGTACATAGCTGAGCGCTTACCCACTGCGCCACCGGGGCTCCTTTTACTGAAGACTTAAGACCCTTGACGCTTCAGACAATCTGCATCGTGCCTCTGGCTGCCGTACCCCACACAGGTGCTGCGGCCCTTCGTTATTTTCCCTTCCCCTCCACCAGGGGGCGCAGGACCGGGGAACCTCTCATTCTGTGATGCATAAGGTCGCTGAATAGAAACAAATTTGAGGACCAGTAACAGCAGCCCTCCCCGCTGGGGCTCTTACCCCAACAGCTCCAAGAGGGCCCTAATCAGAGTGGTTCAAGGAGCACTCTTTCCTGGGGCTTCTGGCTGCCAGAAGCCTCAGAGAAAACTATGGTTGATAACATTTTGAAGATGACTGTGAGCTTTTAAGGGTGTAAACACTTCATCACCCATGGGAGCGGCAACGACAGGCTCGCCCTAATCTCAGTTGAGATCATGGGTTTTTTCTCATTTCTTTCTATTACTCAGGCAGGCACCCGGTATAGGAACAATGGCTGGAGGGAAGACCGGGACTCTTCCTGATGTTCTGTTGTGGGGAAAAGTGCTTTAAGACAGACCTATGAAAAGGGATAAAGTGCCACAGTTTTCCTCTAGGTGGAGCTACTGAAGGGTTACTCGTGCGTTTTGTTCATTTTTGTCCATTTCAAATATATTTGTCATTTTCTCCAACCCTGTCTTGTGTGCCATCTGTTGATTCTGACTCATAAGAGATTCCATGGGACAGGGTTGAACTGCCCCATAGGGTTTCCTGGGCAATAATCTTTACAGAAGCAGGTCACCAAGTCTTTCCTGCAGAGCCGCTGGATAGGTTCAAACACCTGACCTTTTGGTTAGCAG